ATTAAAAGAAAGGACTTGATTTACCGACATCTTTCATTTGTATTTGTTCGCACACAAAATTGGTTGTACTATTATCGAATTCTACGTGTAGTGTAGTGCCATGATTTTTGTGAGACTGAACTTTCATGAAAACAATATATATATAGGTAAATATACCTTTTGTTTCTATGTTTTTATCAAATTTATTTTTTGTCACCTTCTATTCGAACTAAGTGCATCAGTCGATACTGATTTATATATTGATTGGATGACTCATGTATATATGTTCACAGACTAAAAAGAAAAAGGCCAAAAACTTTTTCTTTTCTTTTCATTGTCTTATTGTTTTATTTCAACTGATAGTTTGAAATAAGTTAACAATATCTTGAAAAATCATTAGAATTTTTATTTTTTTATTTACACAAAATGAAGACTTACATATAACGATACAGGCACGCATACACACAAAAACAAAAAAGACGAAATATCTTCTCTTTTTTAAAGTTACAAATGATGATTTCTTTTTTCACATGTATTTTATTGTCCCTATTAAATAGGGTTGACAATGAAAGGTTAAGAGAGGAAAAATAAAAGAAAAAAGTTAAGTAGAACGCAACAATAAGAGACAGTGAGAATAGAAGATATAAAAGAAATATGAGTGTAAGAAGGGTGTTGGTGTGGGGTGGGTGTGAGAGTGTGGGGTGTGGGGTGTGGGTGGGTGTGAGGTATGGCTGTGAGCATGAATGAGTGTCTGTCTGTCAACACCCACACCCTTGCCTTGCATTTATGTAAAAACATTTCAAATACTTGAAGTAAATTATATCTTCATGAATAAGGCACACATTCTATGTACACACATCAAAACACAGAGCAACTCTTATTGTCTAGATAAGCAATTGAAATATCTTGTGAAGTGGGTGTGGGCTAAGAATGAACTCATACCAACACCCGTAAAGCAACAGCAATATCGCTCTTGATTGAGAATATATCGACATGATGCGCGAAGAATAATTCTATCAGTTAAACCCATGTCTTAAGCCAGAAGATGGATCTCAACATTATCAATAAGATGTACGTAATTTTTGTATTGAAAAATTCAAAAAGAATAAGATGAATTTTGACAGAAGCATATTTATTCATAAATCTAGCAAATTTTTAATTAACTCCCAAACAGTAAATCCGGAGAGAAAAATAGAAAGGAGTTGAAGACAGAACGTCGAACTGAAAGAAAAATAAAACAATGGACGAAAAGTTTTATCAATATTTTGGATAAATATTCAATGACTATTCCGAAAAAAGTTTTGAATCAATTTTTGTGTAACAATCTGGAAAGAATTATGAGCGTTCAAATATGACTATGCCCATTAAATGATCGTCGACTCTTGTTAACATACGACTCATTCGAATGGCAAGCTGCACAGCATACTGACCGTCGTATGGTCGTGTTCGCCTTTGAGGTGTATAACGCACTGCTCGTCGAGAATGAACGTCATTAGGATTAATACATTGCCAGCCAAATACGCAGTTGCATCCATTTAGCTCTCCGTCTTCCTTCTGATTAACATTTATGCAAGAAAAAACAATTTGTTGCCATTTTTTAAAATTATGAGGTGTGTCTGTGTCGATACAAACATATCGTCCGTTTGATAGCTGTTCTGGATCAAATTCATAGATGAAAATTGCATGCTCTCCATTAAATTCGTGATTGCGCTTAGGTAGAAATTCGTAGCAATCACGATAATCATTATTCAAATAGTAGGCGGGACCTTTAGAAAAATCCATATTTTCTCCGCGTCGATCAGCACCAGATCGCAGGATACTTTCCGCGCTGTTCCAATCTGTGGCATGAAACCAATACTGTGGATTCACATGATTGGCACGAGTTAGATTTACTAGATCATTGAAATCGATGTCATTAAGATTTCTACCAAAGTTAGATAGATTCTGTCGCGACTGCTTTCGAACGAAAAAGTTGTTGCCTTCTCGAAATTCTGGGTTGCTGTAAGTTTGCCATTGATTATTTTCGAAATTTGATGTCCAGTCAGGAAATGGCTGGATAGTGCTTGAGGGGAATAATCGTAGTCGAATACATTCTTCAATGGAGTGTTTGACAAGTTGATCAGCATAGGCTTTACCCATTGCCCACGTGTACGTTTGAGCCCAATCGTCCTGAAAACCAAACAGGCGAAGAACTTGAAAGAAGTCTCGTTGACTTTTTATTGAAAGTGCATTGACACTATCTTCATTAGCGAGCATATCAGCTTGGAGCCGTTCGATAATAGCAAAAATGTCGTAATGTACGAAATTTTTTAATGTAGGAAAATAAGGTTTTAGTCGACAGATTGTGACATCATTGAATCCGAGATCTTGAAAAAACTCTTGAGCACTATCATACGAGACGTCCGTATTAAAACGTTTAATAGGTTCCATAAAATCTATACAGAAAGCATATCATCATTTTAGATAAAAATATTTCAATTCAAGATCTGACTTTACCGTAGCTTGGAGCGCCCGTATCAAAACGTTTACTAGGATTCAAAGAATCTAGACAGAAAACATACAATCATTTTAGGTAATGATATTTCAATTCAAGATCTGACTTTACCGTAGCTTGAAAAGTCAACTATCAATCCTGATTCAGCTTGAGCGTAAAATTGAAAGTTATCTGTTTCATCGTCAAATGGCAAAAGTAGTGAAGCGCGTGAATTCGTTTTATCAGCGTCTTCTTTGCCAGCCTATTGTAGAATCTCTTTAGTTTGGTACGAATTCAAAACACCAAGAAATGCCTTACCTTTGTACGATCACCTGATTCATTGTCAGCCATGATTTGACAGTTTACAATATATTCTTTATTTTTCACAATCTCACCTTTCTTCAACGACAACGTAATGTAAAATGCATCTTCTCAAGGTTGGTCGTCGTTTATGTACTCTTGCGTAAGTCACTTTTTTTCATCAATTCTTTGAGTCATTTTACAAGAAAAAATTACACTCGCTTCATTCATTTTTCCCTCTGATAAACTAGAGGAACGAAAAAAAAAGGTGTTTTTGTAATCAGTGGTAGTGAAGTTAGAAACACAAAGAATGAGTCACTATTGAAAATATACGTAAAAAAATACCCGATGTGGCAAAATGTTTGCGACATGGGTTATTTTACACATATCTCCACAATTAGAGAAATGGTAAAATCTTTAATTTTTTTTTCAAAATATGTACCATCAAGTTCTCAAAGCAATTGTAGAAAAATCCTATTGTCTGTGCAGATATATATTATGACAGGGAACAGTGCCCGTGAGTCTGTTGAGTGATGAAACAACACACAAATATCAGTATATATAGCTATAGAGAGAGAAAGAGAACAAAGGAGAGAAACGAAGTGTGATGAAGCACAGCAGTGTGCTGATAGATAGGTGTGAGTGTGATTGTGGGTGTGAGTGTGGGTGTGGGCGTGAGTGTGGGCGTGTGTGGGTGTGAGGGTGTGGGGTGTGGGTGTGGGTGTGGGTGTGGGTGTGGGTGTGGGTGTAGGTGTGGGGTGTGGGGTGTGGGTGTGGGTGAGTGTGTTCGTATCTGCTAGTTCCACATGCACACCTACACCCACCCGCATCCATCCACACCCACACCCTTATTGTTATTGGTCGTGCATCTATTATGGTTATTGTTAATGGATTTGTAATTATTATTATTATCAATGATATTTATCATGATGATGATACAGTCTTGATGTTAGTGGTCTTACAACAGTTATTGTTATTGGTCGTGTATCTTTTATGATTATTGTTAATGGACTTGTACTTATTATTATCAGTGATATTTATCATGATGGTGGTACAGTCTTGATGTTAGTGGTCTTACAATAAGTATTGTTATTCGTCGTACATGTCGCACTAACTATTTTTCTATTTGCTCAACATCACATTCAAATACAGTACAATTTTGGTTCTGATGATGGACTCAAAAAAAGGGCGAAAATTCAACCAACAAAAGAACATTTGACTGATTTTGTTGTCATTTGTTTTTATTTTTTCATGTTATAAAAAATTCTAGTAAAATTTATTTATTTAGAATTGATACAATAGATAAATCAATTGTTGATTTATCAACAAAAAAAAGTTTTTTTCTTTTTGTTGCTTCACTCATTGGCACTATTTATGAGCCATTGCATGTAAGCCACGACCTAGAGTGCTCAATCGACCATCTCTGATTTTGCTCATTTTTATATATGTGATAAAGAAAACTGTTTGATGATGTTTGCCGAAAACCGCATCGAAAAATATTGATCCTCTGATTTTTTTGTGTTGAACTTTTACGAAAAGGGTGTGGGTGTGGGTGTGTGTGGGTTAGACATCTGAGTGACCAATATTTTTTGGTCACGGTCACGACCGTGGTCACTGTGACCGTGAGTCAGGAAAAATTCTACTGATTGTATTAGTGCGATATCTTTCTGTCGTCAACGTGCATATGTATTATACAGATATTGAAGAAATATTTGTTCTATTTGTGGAGGGTGTGGGTGTGGGAGTGGGTGTAGGCAAAGAGAAGAACCACATCCCACACCCATACCCACGCCCACACCCACACCCACACCCTGTTCTTCTCCATCAACGGCTAATCAATTATATGATTTTAGTTTATCACGTATACGTTCTGAACAAGCGCACGATATAACTATCCAACAAATTATTCAACAAATTCACAATAATTGCCATTATGACTTGTTTATTATTCAACAGGGTATTCTGTATGAATTAGCTCGCCGTGATAATACTACTATTAAACTTGTTTATGCACCTTCAAAATTAATTCCCAAACTAATGGCTGCTTATCATAATCACCCTCTAAGTGGTCATTTTGGCACTGGACGTACATGGCCTACGTTAAGAAACACATATTATTGGCCACGTATGAAAGACACCATAACATCTTATATTAAATCCTGTGATAAATGTTCACAATTTAATGTGGATTGACATAAACCACCAGGATTTTTACAATCTACTCAACCACCCAATGATGTTTTTCAAATACTAGGTATGGATTGGTAGGGACCCACCACCATTTCACTTTCTGGAAATCGATATGTTTTAGTAATCACTGATCGTTTGTCTGGTTATGTTTTCGCTAAAGCATCACCTACCCATGTAAAAATAAAATATGCATTTAACGAAGAGAGGGTTGAAATTAACGTCAAGACTTGCGTTAAGAGACAAATTAACGAAGTTTAACGAAGAAAGCTGCATTATTTTTTGTTAAATTAGGAAAAATCGTGAAAACACGTTAGATTTTTCACGCTTTTTCACGCGTTGTTGTATTTTTAACGATCATCATCTCCCATATAAAAATAAAATATGCATTTAACGAAATTTAACGAAGAAAGCTTCATAAAATTTTGGTAAGTTAGGGAAATTCGTGAAAACGCGTTAGATTTTTCACGCCTTTTCACGCTTTTCCACGCGTGATTGTATTTTTAACGGTCACCAACTCGTTGCATGGCGTTTAATATTGCATTCGTTTTCATGCGTGAAGTTTTTAACGATGCTTCTTGCGTTTTTTCATTTTTAACGAGCTATATCGTGATAACTATCGTTAAACATTGCATTCGTTTTCGCACGTAAAGTTTTTTAATTTTCCTACGTGAATTATAAAATGATTTACAAGCGCTTAGAACAATCAGTCACATATCTCGTCATCTAACATATATGAGAACACGTGCTTTATAGCGAATCGTATCAACAGAGTGCGATTCAGAGCCAGAATTACAATTTTGAATTAGGGCGGTACATGAGACCTCTTGGCAATATGAACTGTACGGTCTGATGTCAAGATACTAATAGACATGAGTTCGACGAACCTTTGAGCGATTTTACAAAGGTTTTACAAAAAGAGAAGCTTAGCTTTCCTAATTTAATAATCTTCAAGAAAAAGTTTTAAGCGCAAGTCTAATTATTCTTAAGGTGTAAACTAAAATTTATTGTAGAAGGTGCTAGTGTAAAAACGTTCTCGAAATATTTTTGGAAGAATTATCAATTTAAATATAAATATAAAGAGACAATTTGTTTTAGTTCTTGGTAAAAGTTCTAGCTCAGTCAAAAAATTAACTTATACATATTCCTGTGCTGTTCACTTTAAATTTATTCCGATTTGGTTCGTATGACAGAATAGATCCATATAAAAGTAAAAACAGTTAATTGTTTTTTGTGATAGCTTTTAGGTAAGAAAGAATTAACTATAAAAGTACAGAAAATAGGATGACAAACATTTAGTAACAGCATAAGCATAGCTGTACAGTTGAGTGAGCGTACAAATTTTTCTAAAAGCTCAAAAAAATTTTTATGTAGCTGGACTTGAAACTTTTCATGGTTCTTTATTATCGAGTTAAACTAAGTTGCCTATTTTGCTCATAGAATTCACATCTAATATGAGAAACGTTACTTGTTCATCTTCAATAAATGCTTAAGCTGATGTATATGTTACTGCTCAGAATTTTTTATACATTGCTATTGATCGCAAGTGTGATGAGCTTTCTCCAATGGTCGATATCTTCCTAAGTTTTATTCGTCCAGAAATAAAATTTAGCAAGATATTAATCGTTGAGAAAAGTTCATCACACTTGCGATCAATAACAATGTATAAAAAATTCTGAACAGTAACGTATGCACCAGTTTGAATATTTATCGAGGAAAAACGCGTTAAACGATCTATTTTTAACGCAGAAAGACGTGCTAAACGGTCTTATTTTTAACGCAGAAAGACGCGTTAAACGATCCTTTCTTTAACGAAAATAACGAGTTAAATTTTCGCGCATTTAACGCGTTTTTAGGGTCAGTAAGGTAACATTAAATTTTGTTAAATCGTTAAATTTTTAACGAATTTTCACGTCACAAAACGTCGTTAAATTGCAAAACATTTTTACATGGGTACAAATACAGCTCAAGATACTGCTCGGTTCTTAATCGACGAAATTATTTTAGTACATGGTTCACCAGACGTAATTATTACCGATTAAGGAACACACTTCAAGAACGAACTGATGCAAGCTATTTCACATTTAGTTGATTGTAAACGCATTTTCTCAACGCCATATCATCCACAAACAAATGGACAAACTGAAAGATGGAGCTCAACATTCGTAGAACAAATCTTCAAATATTGTAATACTGATCAAAACAATTGGGACACATTTTTACCATCTATTGTTTATGCTTACAATAATGGTATACACAGCTCTACTGGACTTAGCACTTATGAACTAGCATTCGGACGACGACCACGGCATCCATTCAAACCTCCTGCATCTACCTTCGTTTTTACTAAACCACAGGATTATTGGACGCAGGTGATACAATATAGAAATGCAGCTTTAAAACAAGCAAAAGAAAATATTATGCATAAACAAGCACTATCGAAAATTCGTTTTCACAAAAACCGATCACATCCGAATTTCATTCCAGGGGATCTTGTATGGATGAAAATTTTTGTTGGACGACACAAACTTAAAACTCGATACACTGGTCCTGCTTGAATCATTCGAATTCTCTCACCAGTATCATTTATTGTTGAAGATGAGAATTTTCGACAATTTCAAGTCCATTCGAACGATATTAGACGTGTATATTCTCGGGAACACGTCATATTCTAAGGAAATTTTTCTCTTCCTACGCTACCACGTTACAAGAATCATCACATATCCATATGTTATCTTTAGTATTTACATTCGCATATTTTCACATCTGAATTTTATCATCATTTATATTCGAAAACTTTTATGTGTTTATAATTTTCTTCAACGCTGTTTTTTCGTTACTTTCTTATCATTCTATATACACTTTATATACATTTTACCATTGTCTTCAACTTATTAGTTACTCATTAATTTCGGCAATGGTGGTCCTCTTTATTTGCATTTTGTTCATCCTGACACGTTCAATCGAAGCCTTTCTTAATCGTAAAACGGTGGTCTCTTGCGTCCAAACTTTTGATACTAACAACTGAACACATTATGTGTTCATACTGTTACTCCTCGTGGGAGTTTTGGTAATCATCGCTTTTCTTATTTACGCTCGTAAACGCTGCCGGCTGATACTAAAACTGGCGCGTCAACAACAACAAGAACCACAACATACTCCAGCACATGTCTCTTCCATGTCATCACCAGTTTATCAACCACCGTACGCTCATGTGCCTAATTCATTATTACATCAACCTCTACAGCAATACCCATCGTTATTAGTTTCACCACCACGTGAAACACTAGCATCTTCCTGTGTCCCATCAAATCCAATCTTATCATAAACATTTGTTTCCTTCCATGATTTATTTGCACTTCTGAATGCTTTCTACTTCATTGTAATTACAAAACATTCAGCATTTGCTTTTCTACCGGTCATCATCTGATATTCCGCTTCTAAGTAACAAAAAAAAGCTTTTATCTTCTTTCTTCATCATTCGAAATCCGTCTTGTTTTCTCTTTTGCCTATCGTTTTTTGTATGAGATTCAAACCCTTTTTTCATATTGTATCTTTTTGTTCTACCTTACATCTTTTATCGCTGGGGGAGGTGTTATGTCAGGAGAGACATCTCCTGACATAAGAGGGCTCTCTCTATAATATCACTGCTCTCGTTAATGGCATTCATTCTCGTCGCTCCATGATATCTCTTTGTTCTGAAAATAAACAAGGAGGCATATCCTGGAAGAAGAGAGAAGGAGAGAAACAACATTTCTTGCTGCTTTTTTGTTTTTGATTCATTCGCTTGTTGGGTTTTGAAAAGAAAGGAATAAGAATAATAAAGAAAACGGGTAAAGGACCCTAACAGTATCCTTGCCGTATCCCTCGTATCCCTCGTATCCCCATTGTATCCTCATATCCCAGCGGTATCCTAATCGTATCCCGGATATTAGGGATCCTCGTATCCGGGATACGATCAGGATACACAGGCTGCAATGGGGATACAGAGGATACGACCGGAATAGGGAGAATATCGGGATACCACAATCCACTTTTCCCCCTTGGGTATGGGTGTGGGTGTGGGTGAAACAATAACACCTACACCCGCACCCACACACCCACCCACACTCACACCACACCCACACCCATACCCACACGCACACACGTACTCACACCCACACCCCACACCCCACACTCCACACCCTCACACCCACACCCTAGATGAAGAACGTCGTTTTGATAAAAAATGTAATCGGTATACACCAATTTGAATATAGAATAATTTTTAGTAAAATCATCATCATGTTCACGATCATGTTAAATGTCTGCTCATCGAGTGCATTTTAAACATGGGCTTTCTAATGGAATACGAAAATCGAAAAAATTTCGGCGGACGACCCTATAGTGGGTTGATCGGTCTCCTCATGGACCCTCTCTTAATTTGTTGGACGATGACTTTTTCTAACAACTGTATAAAAGTACTTCAATAATATCATACCAATTAGTTTAGCTATGCCAATAAATAATGTTTGAAGCAAGGCGTCGAATATTCTTGTTATTGGTCCTACACCTGATGTTACACATGTTGATATATATCCCATAACACCAAACGAACATGAAAATGAACCATTCGTCGTTGATTTAATAATTTTTTCAGCTACTTCATCTGATGTATACAAGCCTGCCGTTTGTTCTATTGCTTGCGTTTCTGCTGGTCGTAATTTATTATTCAGTTCTTCCATTGTACCAGGTGTATCAGTATCAGCCGGATAAGCTATTGTTATATAAATATTATAGTTAACTAGTTCCATTTGTAATGCTTCAGCTAAGCCTTTTAATGCAAATTTTGTTGAACAGTAACTTGTATAACCAAATAAACCAACTTGTCCAGCAAGTGATGATACAAAAACAATTCGACCATAACGTTGTTTCAACATATAGTCAATACTGGCTTTTGTACAGTAGACACATCCTAAATAATTTATTTTCATCATTTCTTCAAATTCTTGAGGTGTTGTATC